CAAAGCCAGCTGTCTTGCCACCACCATAATGGGTTCTGAATCCAAATTCAAAGACGATATCTAGTGTGGTTTTGTACATTTTAGCTTGTTTCTTCAAATTACTGTCTTCAGTGTTGTTGCCTTTCTGTGGTAAAGGCCATCAAAGACCGTAGATTTCCTCTGAGGTAGTTGGTTCCACATGAACTTCCTTTTCCTCAGAATTACTGTGTTGTTTGTGGTGGCTACAGCTCCCTAGACAGTCAAGGAGGAAAAGGGGCAGGGGCAATTTTTAAAAACATGTATTGCTGAACCTGGTAGTGCAGACCTGTAATCTCAGCTAATTGGGAAGTTAAGGCAGGAAGATTACAGGTTCAAAGCCTGCCTGAGCTCCTTAGTGAATTTACAGTCAGCCTAGCCAACTTAAATAAAATATTTTGTCTCAAAATAAAAAGTAAAAAGGAAGTAAAAGATGTACTTCATTGGTAGAGTACAAGACCCTGGGTTCAGTCCTTACTACTGTGAAACAAAGGCACAAATAAAATTCTAAGAATACATTTTTTTTTCTAAAGAATTAAAAGCAATTATGGAAACAACTTTCATTTTCTAACTTTTTTCAAGTAAAATAACTTGCTATCATCTTTATGAACCAAAAAATTACAATCAAAATACAATAAACTACAGTCAAACAACAAACTAAGCTATGATCAAATGTTCTTGCCAAGTTATAATTTACCAAGTTTTTAATCACACAGATAATTCTGGTGTTTATTTCATAGAAGAGTAGCTGATAAAAGTTCTCTATGTTATGCTTGCTTGGGGAGAATGGACTCATTGACTACTCTACATAGGTTGAATAGGTGAGTCTTAAGATATATGACCCCATATATCAAATGCAAACTGGTATTTCACCATGATAAATATTTATGTAATATGTCTAAGACCCAGAAGCCCAGTTTCTTTTCCTCATATGTATAACTTAACATACTGCCTCTCAATCTTAGTGTACCTGTACACCAATGTTTACATGTAAGCCTCTTTATTTCTGTACCTGTCAAATATAGACAGTGATCTTAGTAGCTATTATCTCAGAGCTAGTGTGACCAATTAATTGATAGTCTGCACAAACTGAATGCAGCTATTCCCTTTGGACTGTTATTTATCTTTAAATTTGTCCTTTCTAAATCAAGAATAGCAGTTAGTTTTTCTAGATCCTATTCTATATAATATGCTGATATCAATATGGTATTTCACTTCAGAGGTTTCATTTATTTTTCTCAATATCTTTCTTGTACATGAAACAAACAAATATGAATAGCCATGTTCCATTTACAAATCCTTGAAGGGCAAACCTCAGTCAATACACATGTGTATATATAATTACAGCTGGTAAATATTGACGTTATTGCTATTATAAACCTCAGATATATAAAGACATTCTGTTTTCCCTATTCAATGAGGCTGTTTAAAATAAACCATCCGTATATCTAAAATAAGAAGCCATAAGAATAAAAATCTGACTACTTATTAGAAAACACAGGATGAAAAGGAGACTGCCAGGAAGTTTTACAGACTGAAATGTCACTGGGTAAAGATAGCTACTTCTAGCTCTCTCAAGTTGTCTGCAGATGGGCAACTTACATATTTTGCTTCAGTTTTACATATACATTCTTCTTCTTAAGAAATCGTTACCTGGATTTCCTTTTATTAAGCACCTAGTATATATAAGCCATGCAGGTCATAAAGAAATTATACTTGGTATTCAAATATTAAATCTTAGAGCCTTTGCCTGTAATTGGAAATAAAATAGGATAATAAGAAAAATGGACCAGAAAATTGAAAGAGTATGCTTGTATCCTATTTTAAATGAGGTTACATCATGAAGCAGAGCCTGAGATAAATCTTTCATGCAAGCACATCTCAGGGGGAGGGGTTGAACCCAGGGAATAAGGGAGGAAGCCCTGAAGAGAATAAGACAGGGTGGAGGAAGAGCTAATCCAAGGTGTCCTGCTGAGCTGGTTATCCCCGTTAGAAATGGGGTCCTGTTCCCGGTGGGAAATCATATACAATACCCTTGAGGATTACCAACTTGAGACACAAAATAAGTAGCAGCCTGACCCCCACAGGCTAACTTTAACACTAGAGAATATCAATGTTATGTTTTTAAGGCGTCCTATTAGGAAGCAGAGGATCCTCAGGACAGATACACAGTACAACCAAGAGATGTCAAGAATACATGTGTGGAGCTAGTTAACAATGGGCAAGGCAAAAATGGGTGGGCTAAGGAAGCGTGACAGGAACTTGAAGATCTCTAATGTAATTCTCAACTTCAACAGTTACTCCTTGTGTGTATCATGCCAGCACAGCCTTGTTTTCTCTTCGTAGAAGCAGGAGGCTCGCCTACCTTTTCTGTTCATCAGAGTAATTCCCAAGAGAGTACTTTGAAATTGTTTGGCAGATAACCCATTGCAAACTTGAAAGTCACTGAGAATGTTGTAGACCTGACACATATCCAGAAATCAGAGAAGAGGACACAGAAAACATGTAGAAGACCCTGGGAATCCCTGTGCTGATTTGGCAGTTCTGTAACAGCAATGAATAGGGATGTACATAACTCATCACAACAGCCCAAAAGGTGTAAATCTAACATCAAACATATATATATTAAATATTTTATTTATTATTTTGTTTTATGTGTATGAGTGTATTGCCTGTATGAATGTAAGTGCACCTGTGTTGTATAGTGCCCACTAAGGTCAGAATAGGGCATAGGAGCCCCTGGAACTGGAGTCACAGATTTTTGTGAGTCATTTTGTGGGTGCTGGAAACCAAACCTGGGTCGCCTACAAGAGCAGTCAGTGCTCTTCACCACTGAGCCATCTCTCCAGCCCCCCAAATTTTTATATTAATTGGAATAATAGGAGAATGTTTCTTGCTAGGGTTAACATTGATCAAATGTCTTCATCAAATGCCTAATATATGAAGACTATAATACCTGGCTATAAGACCAACATAAGATCTACATTTTAGTCATATCTCCACTTCTTAGCTTTAGATTTCAAATTCACTTTCTTCTACAGTGCTTTGACAATTGAAAGACTGCAGTTGCCTTATTAATTTTAGCCCTGTTTGATCTCTGAACATTCAACCAGTAGTTTCTCTCATTCTCAAGTTATGTGACAGCTCTGCTTTTATTTCTTCATCATTTTTGCAAATTTAATAAATGTTAAATGCCATCGTTACTGTAAATTCTCCTCTGGAGTATGGGTGTAGGTGTGTATTCAAGACAGATGTAATCAGGGTTAACAATATTCCATATGTCACCTCTCTTCCCAGTCACTTGAAGACATTAAGGAGAGACTTTGCAAACTGATATTTAAAATGATAACAGGCTTTCAGTGACTAACAACTGAATTTCTGCAAGCTGTGGCCCTCCAGGATTTTCTCGTGTAGTGATAAACACATCTCAAGGGAAAGGTCTTCAAACTCTGAGACTGCTGATCTAGTCTTCACCATTGGCATGGATTTGTAGTAGCTTTTTCTGTAACATAACCCTTCAAGCTGCTTAGTCATTGATGTTTTTTGGGGCGGGGGTCTTTTTGAGACAGGGTCTCCCTGTAACTCCAGCTGGCCTGGAACTCATTATGTAGACCAGGCTGGCCTTGAACTCAGAGATCCACCTGCCTTTGCCTCCTGAGTGCTGGGCCTGTACCACCACACCCAGAGTCATTGATACTTTTTAAAACATTAGTTCTATTTTTACTTTCAGTGTGGACAATTCCTGCATACCTAATATCTCCGTATGTGTATAGTATTTCATCTTAAAACTTCAAAAATCTTCAAAGACTGTCAGGTTCTTCTACTTTGAGATTCTGTGAAAAGTCTGTTGCCCCTATGTATATGGTTTAGTACTTTAGGGTCTTAGCTATTTCCTTAAACTAACATGAGAGTGGCTGTGATGTCCCGGGAAGTACATGGCACTAGGGATTCGGAGGTGGAAGCTGGGATTGCTTACACCTTTCAAGGAAGTCCCAGTTTGATCTTGTGTCATAATAGATCTTACTAAAGAATGATAAAAGTTACAGTGGGTGACTTTGAGGATGCTGGGCCTTCCAAGCCAGTTTTCAGTGGGTAATAGAAGGCTCAGTATAAATGACTCCAGGATAGAAAAAGATCAAGAAACAGGAAGGGAGAGGAGTTTCCCAAATATGCCTGGCCCTGCAGGTCTCAGTAAGAAAGATGTGGTGAGGTCTGGCATGGCAGCACACACCTTTAATCCCAGCACTTGGGAGGCAGAGGCAGTCTAATCTTGGTGTCTACACAGGGAGTTTCAGGCCAGCCAGAACTACATAGTGAGACCAGTCTCAAAAAACAAAACAACAAAACAAACAAAACAAGAATGATGAGTAATATACAAAAGCTGGGTACAGACACAAGCATCCTCCTGGTGGTTGGAGAGAGAGAGAGAGAGAGAGAGAGAGAGAGAGAGAGAGAGAGAGAATTATAATAATTGACATGACAGCATAGAAGAAACATACTGTTAAGTCCTCCCTATGGATTTGAGAGATTTTACAAAGGTTTCACTCTGCTGATGAGTTTGCTAAGCTTGTGTGTTCTAGCAACCAGGACTGAGATAAAGACTAGAGGCATGAATGAACTGTGAACTTATTGTAGAACTGTGGTTCTTTTTCATAGCACTGTCAGCAACAATTGCCGCCAAACTGCAATCAGTTTCCAACTTTGTGGTAAGCTAGCTAGGTTTCCTATGAACTTGAAGTGTTTAAAGCAGCCCACCCCAGGAGGCTGTGTTAATCTGATGCTGACTACTGGCACACACAGCATGACCTGAGTACAGGTCTGCTGGACTTTAAGGTCGCTGTGCCATAATTACCATTTGAAACTTTACCTTTGATTCCAAGTCTAGATGACACAGAGCTAGGTGGGGCTTGATTTCAAGGAAGGTGCTATTGGGTTTCTTCGATTTGGTATAGATAAATAAACATACTCTACACTTCATTCTTAGACAAACTCACTACATTCATCCATGCTCTTCATCACATCTGAATCCAGGGCTTCCTTGTAGGTTATTTATCATATGAATAGAAGATATGGATTTCTAAGCAAGGTAAGGATTGCTTTCTAAGTTGTTTATACTTAGAGCTTGAAGTTGGACATGATTGAATCAAATGTGTATTTTTTTAAAGTATTCTATTTATTAGTATTTTTTATTTTATTTTCTGTGTATGGGTGTATTACCTGCATGTGTGTAAGTATACCCGTGTTGTGCAAAATGTGTATTGTTTTAACTTGACATGTTACTTTTATGTTAGAAAAAAAGGCCATTTAAATCACTTTAGTGCAAATATGTAAAGCACATGTGTACAAATGAAATACTTAATAAAATGTTGAATTGAAGGAAGTCACTGATGTATTTAAAATAGAAGAACTTAACAAAGAGAAGAGGAAGCCCTAATGTTCTAAAAGGCAAGCAGGGGAGAGTTGAAAAATGTTTGTTTTAAAAGTATTGAGGGACTTTTAATCTCTGTGGATGTATTTTTTACTTATCTAGTCACACTCTAGAGGCTTGGCAGCTACCCCAGGGAAGCAATGCTCACCACTGTAGTGGCTGTGGGAAGGCTGGGCTGCAGGGAAGAACACAGCAATGATTTTTCTAGCAAAAGAACCAAGTGATCTTTGAATTTGAAAACAAGAAACTTCCAAGTCTCCTATAGGTACTTCCACCATTTCAAGGGAAAGTCATTAAGTTTATTTTATGTTTAACATCCAAGAAATTATTTTAAAAGTTCAGATTTAATTCTTACTAGGTTTTTATTGTTTGGGACTTGGAATAATAGAAAAAATATTACTAGATAATTTAGTGGGGTTCTTTTGTTCTGCTGATGTCTGATAAAAAAAAAATGAGTTTCCTCATTTCCAAGAAACTTGATGGAAACTATCTCTGCCCCAAACAGTAAATGGGTTCTAGGTACTACATTTAGAAGCATATTCTAGTAGAAAAATACAATTAGGTGTAGACATCAAGGTCACAGTCTCCAGCAGCAAACGGTCCTTGGTACGAAGCCTGCTTTATCATTAACTAGCTGTGTGGTGTCCTCTGAGTCTTAGTTTCTTAATCTGTAAAATGACAGGAATGTCTGGGTTTGCTGTGAAGAATTAAAGAAATATCTTAAAATGCTTAGCAAGGTACCTAGTTTGTAAAGATTGTTCAGTACATATTGGTTATTATGTATATATTTTACCATATAGATGTAAAAGATAAGTTAGCTCCTATATCATATTACCAAGTACCTTAAAAGTTTGGTCGTTCTTTGAGCCAAGTCTGTGAATAAGGTTCTGCCTGCTCTTGTTTGATCTTGGCCTGCACTGGGGAAGGAATCAATCCCTGAGTTCATTTTCCCCCCTGATCCCTGGAAGAAATCATATTTATCTTAATGTTTTGTTAAACATTAAGGACACGACTCCTGTGGCTCCTCCTTCTTTTGACCAAGAATCAGGTGTGTGCCATAAAAGTAGACATTCAGGGAGGATTTTCCTTCTGAGGCTGTCAAATCAACTGTGAGTCACCATGCTTGTCTAAGAGTGGACATTTTGTTTGAACAGATTTGAAACCATGCCTTCTTTAAGCTTCTGAAGGAAATCGGTATAACTGGCTTCCTACTGTAAACATGAAAACCTTTCCCTTTTCCAACATCATGACTTTCCTATCTCTAAGGAGCTACAAAGTTGTTACCTCTTGACTACTAAGTCCTGGGAAAAATGGACTCAAGGAAAATCCTGTGTCTTCTGTTCTTTCAGGTATTAGGTATTCACACTCTAGGCTGACTCCAACCGCCATTAAAACTAAAACAAAACAAAAACCAAGGTCCAAGCCCATTCCACGTCAAAGGAGCGACAAGCTTTTGACCTCTTAAACATCCTGCTCTTCTGGTTTTCTTTAGCTCCAGTTCTTTCCAATAAATTCTATCTTCCTATCATGTGGACATTTTTTACTGGTATTGAGTTATGGTGCTAGTTGTGCAAAAGTTGCAGAGACTAGAATGTGACTAACAGGTGGGCCTTCTCATGATAGCTTTTTTTCATAATTTTTCTCTGCAAAAATTATTAAGTGTCATTTCAGAGGCCCCTTTAAGTTCTGAGAATTGATGCTATTCTTCCTTAGCCCTTGATCTTAAAGTCTATAATCCCACATCATTCCTTACAGCCACTTGGAGTTCAAGATCTGAATCCCCAAGAGGTAAGATGTTAAGACACTAAGTGGAGACAGGCCAGTGAATGCTTAGAAGGTTTTCATTTTAAAACTGTCATTTCAGGTGTTTGCTTCATGCCACTCAGGTTCTGACTATATTACAAATGGGGTCCTTTTTTAAAAAAAAAGTCAAATTTCATCCAGATTAGAGGCATCGTAGAGAACTCCATCTGAAGAAAACCTCCTTTGACTTTCCTTTTTGCCTTTCCCACTCTTTGCTGTAGCTATAATCACTAGAGCACACACCCAGTTGTTCAAAGTCTATGACACTGCGTTTGACTTTGGTAAGGTTTCCATTTATAGAGCAATAAGGTTTAACATCACTTCTAAAGCAATCACATTTAATTACTGAATATTGCTCTGAGAGATTTATTCAAAATTTATATTACTAATATAATTACATGTACACTAAGCTAGCAGCTCTAGAGTTGTAATCAACTTGCTAATAAGTTTAATTTTTAAGAATAAGCACAAAAAGAGAAATCATTTTTATAAAAGTTCTAGGAGTCATAATAGCCTAAGTGAAAATTGGAACAATGGACAGAGTCTGAGCTTGGAAATCTTAAGATTTCAAGTGTGGTGGGAAGGAAGGTATAGGATGAACATTAAAATGCTAAGGGTACATCAGATATGATGTTCTGAGTTTGAGATTTCTGGGATAGTACAGAAATTTCCAGGTGATAAGGAAAGGGACCCATCTTGTAAAAAATCTAGGCCAAGTGTAAAGGAAGTAGAATTCTTGATTTTTTGTTCCCTCATAGTTTTAGACTTGCTGGGCAAGATGTAATAGATGACAGAAAAAGAAAAACGTCAAGGCAAATGTCCATAAAGGAGGTATCCATTAAAAAATATTTCGGCTCTAGTAATAAAGACTATCTGAACCCAACCACATGACTTATGGCTTAAAAACCATTGCTGCACCTTAGCTAAGCTCCTTTAGGAGTGATGGTCACTTCAGAAGAATCGAAGATTCTGACTGAGATGTGGGTGCCCTCAGGTTGTATACTCTATGATCTGGAAAGAACACCAGCATAGGAGATTGTCAGGTTTATTTCTAGATTCTAATGTGGAAGGGAACATGGGGAAAAGAGCAGCTCCAATTAAGAAAAAGGAGAGGGGGAAACAGTGCTTTCAGGGAAAGAATCAGGTTTCAATTGAGGCAGTCAGTCAACAGGAATCTTAGCTATGTTCCTTACTGCAGTTCATTGTGGAATGATGTTTTCCGAGGACACAGTGAAGAATTCCAAGTCTGGCTGGGTGGGTGGGTAACAGAGAAAGCACCAGGGCTGATAAGCCAAGGTACATCTGGTTCACAACAGGAAGTGCTGGCCCTGCTCAGGTGGGAGGCAGGGTAGAGAAAACAGCCTAGAGATTTCAAGGATCACTTACCTGGGATTTCAGTACATTCCTTTGTATCAGAGGGAGGATTCAGTACAAGCAGCTGTGGAGTCAAAGATTCAGGAGCAAGTGATGTATTAAAATAGGGCTTTCAGGAGAATACAGTTAGGGAGTTCAGGGATGCTAGGCTGAGGAGCAGAATGGGAACTTAATCCAGGTGAACCATTGACATACAAAAGTTGATTTGCTGGGGATTCTGGGAAGTAAGCTTCTTTTCTTAGCAAGAGGAGTTGGTAAAGCCAACATTTTTCTTTTTTCTAGCTTTGCTTGTGTGTGGATGAAATGTCTGCAGTGTAATGTGTGTGCATGAGATGTCTTCAGGGAGCCGGGATCCGGAAAAGGAGTTCTGAATCAAGCAGGCCCTAGGCTCCTGGGCTCCCTGAGTCTCTATGATAGTAATCAGAAAACTTTTGTTATCTAAATCAGTTCCTGGATTTTAAAAGAAAAAATAAAAGCTATTGTTATTGTTATTACTTCCAACAGAATTCTAAATTCTTAAATACTTTAATTATCCTATGATGCTTATCTAAATGTGCTTTAATTTTAGGATTGCAAGTAATCAAAAATGACTAAGGGTATCAAATATTTAGGTTTAGCTTCTAATGCTGCTGCAATATTTCATGGTATTGCAATTAAATGAAAGAAGGGAATTGCCTTTCACACTGGAAAGGAAGGCGGGGATTACACATCTGTAAGTAGATCTTCTAATTTATGTCTTCTGTTCTTAGACTTGGTGTTTCTGAATGTGAAGAGACCTAGGCTTCCAAAACCAGTTTCCTCACTGAATTTAGCCTTTTATTTTATATGCCGAACAACTTTATATCCTAGTGGGCTTCATAGATTACATTTCTAATTCTTGCACAAACTTGTGCTTTTGTATTGAGGGTCTGACACAGTTCTGCAAACTGTCATAGAAGGGCTGTTTGCATTTTTTTAAAAAAATTGTTTATATTTTTGTGTGTAAATGTTTTGCCTGCGTGTAAGTGCACCCATGTTGTACAATGCCTACACAGGTCAGAAGAAGACATTGGATCCCCTGGAACTGGAGTTACAGACAGTTATTGGCCTTCATGTGGGTGCTAGGAATTGAACCCAGGCCCTCTGCAAGCAGCCAGTGCTCTTAACCACTGACCATGTGTCCAGCCCCCTGCATCTTCTTTTCATCATTCTTTTGTCTTGCCTGAATTCCAGATAGGACTGCAGGAACAGATGGCTGAGTACCAATTATACCTAGGCTCCATTTTTCCTAGTTTCATTCATTTTCCTTTCAATTTTACACTTTTATTTATTTTTCTTGTGTGTGTGTGAACATACACACATGTATACCAAGGTTTACATGTATGAAGTTCAGAACACAACTTTTGGGAGTTGGTTCCCTCATGTGGATTCTGGGGATAGACTCAGGTCCTTTGGCCTGGCTTCAGGCACCTTTACCCGTGGAGCCATCTTGCCTGCAACAT